CTCTCTCTCTCTCTCTCTCTCTGTCCCCTCTCTCTCTCACTCTCACTCTCTCTCCATGGCTCCTAATCCTTCCCTCTCAGAGCCTGTCCAAGCCTCTGTCTGACTCTCCTGGCCTCTCCCCTACCCACCCAGTCACCCGTGTCTCTCTCTCTGCCTCCCCTGCCATCTGCCTTTTTCTCTGCTCCTCTTGCTCACCAAGGAAGGTTGGGGGTGGGGGGTGCAGGGAGCTGGGGCTGGAGAGAGGGGAGCTTGGGGTAGGAGTTTCTGCCCCTAAGAAGTGGGGAGGAGCAGCAGTTGAACCCAGAGAGTCCAGGAGGGACTTGGGAAGTGGAAAAGGGACAGATCATTTCTGGAGGCATTTTCCAGAACAAGCCAGGACTCCCCCACCGCCCGGTTCTGCCTGCTACTCTTCACAGACACAGGGTGGTGCCACCCTTATCGTGATCTCAGCCCAAAAGGCCTCCAGGACAGCATGGAGCCACTGCTCCCAACATCTGAAGCGTCCTCCCTCAGAGTCCTGGCCTGAGGTGCTGGTCTGCAAGGTGCTGGTCTTGGGCTCCAAACCCAGAAAGAGTAACAGCCACCAGGGCCACATTAGCAGAGTGACACTCAGGGGTCCTTTCGCATCTTTCATCTGTCATTAACCACCTCTCATTAACTACCTCCATTCACCTGCCTCTGAGCGTGGGCATCTCCCCAGAGTACGAGCTGCTCTTGCTCTCCAGCTGTGCTAGGTCCCCTCCCAGCTCCCAGGTCCAGATGCATCCAGGGCTGCTGAGGACCTGACCGGATCTCCTGGGCTGTGAGGGTGGAGAATGGAGGTGAGGGGCCCCAGGCATCCCTGGGGGTGGGGACTCTGTCCTTTCCCTTGGGTGGGCAGCTCCTGGACATTTGCTTGCTCCTCAGGGAAACCACCCAGGAGCCAGGTGCCTGAAACCTCTGCCAAGTTTCCCTTTTTGGAGCCCAGAAGAGCCAGCCTGTGCCAGTAGTTCCCATGGAGACGGAGCCCTGGGATGCGCCCCTCCTTTGCAGCCTACACAATTGCACTTGCACGCCCTTTTTCTTTTCCTTTTCATTTTTTTCTTTATTTTCTTTATTTATTTTTATTTTTGAGCCAACCAATTAGCTCCAACTTTCAGATCCTCAGGGGAAGAATATAGCCTGGAGCTGGTGACCCACCAAGGCAAGGAGGACTGTTTCCAGAGGGGAAGTGGCAGCCCAGGTGTCTGGCCCTGTGTGACTTCAGGACAGGCTGGACATCACACTGGGGGAAGGGCTCGGCAGAGCCTGGAGGACTCCTCAGCTCCCTCCCCCAACCACACTGCACCCTGGGAAGTGGGGGAGGTGGAGAGGGAGGCAAGGTCCTTCATGGCTGTCAGCTCCCTGGGAGCTCATCTGTTTTTTTTTGAGACAGGGTCTCACTCTGTCACCCAGGCTGGAATGCAAGGGAGGCCTGGTGTTTGGGGACAGTGTGGTCCAAGACAGCCACCAGTCCATGCTGGGATGCTTGTCCTCACAGACGAAAGAGGCAGGAAGTCTCTTCAGGGCAGAGACGCTGAGGTGCAATCATGGCTTACTCCACCCTTGACTTGCTGGGCGCAAGCAATCTCATTTTAGCTTCCCGAGTAGCTAGGACTACAAGGCACATGCCATCATACCAGGTTAATTTTTGTATTTTTTTGTAGAGATGGGGTCTCACTATGTTGCCCTGGCTAGTTTCAAAGTCCTGAGCTCAAGCGATCCACCTGTCTCAGCCTCCCAAAGTGCTGGGATTCCAGGCATGAGCCACCATGCCCGGCCCCATCCTTCTTTCACTGCCTGGGACAGTGCTGCCTTTGACTCCAAGCAAGCCTCCACAAGCAGGGATGCATGGAGCATTTTAAGTCTTCATAGTGGCTTTGGGAGAAAAGTGTCATTCTGTCACTCTACAGATGATAATGGTGAGACCCAGAAAAGCTAAAGGACTTGCCTAAGTCATAGGCTCAGGAGAAATAAAGCCAGGTCCCAAAGCCTCTTGCATACTTCCCAGAGTGAGCATCTCGGGGGGTGAGATGCTGCAAGCGGCTGTGTGCCCACGGTTTATATAGCAGCTTGGAAACTTGCTGACCGCACTGCCATGATGGGCTGGTCTTCCTGATGGTCTGGCTGGAGGAGTCAGTAGCAGAGGAGCCCACTCGCCACAGCAGCACCCCCAAGAGTCGCTGGCCTCTGTTTGGCACACCCGCCTGCCAGCATCCCATACTCAGTGTGCTCTCCTCAGAGTTCACCAGCCATGACACTGCCCTGCCCAGCTGCGCCCACCAGCTGTTTGGTCTTGTGAACCTCCCACTGATTCTACCACCTGGGTGGGTGCCCCTCATAAAATACAGATGTGGGGCATGTGTGCCCCCTGCCACTGCACCCCCCTTCCTCAGTGGCCTGTCCAGAGCCCCAGCCACTTCCAGCTGGGTCCCTACCCTGGGCCTGTGGGGAATGCAGGAATGAGCAGGGGCAGGAAAAAGGTGGGGGGACTCCCATGTGGCCTCAGCAGCGGCCCTGCTGTGAGCACACAGGCATCTGCAGACTTCCCAGAGATGGCCTTGGCATTCCCAGTGTTCTGTGCAGTGCATTGGACCCACAGAAGGTTGAGTAGGCTGCAGGAGGACCTTGTCTCATCCTCTAGGAATGCTTCAGCCCTGTGTTTCCCACTGTGCTTTCCTCACTTAGGGGCTTTGGGGAGAAACTGAGGCTGGGGGCAGTTTGGAAGTGGGAAAGGAAGGGATGATTTCAAGCCCGGATGACAGTTGGGTTTCCTCTGGTCAGTGTCTCAGGAGGCAGTCACGGTCTGTTTCAGCTGACCAGGGCCCTCACACTTGCCCTACCCAGACAAGCGGGGGGCTCATGGGGCCCCCCGCCCACAGGCCTCGGGGGCTTCTGCACCTTCCCCCACTGTTGCTCATGATCCCACATTCCAGGCCCAAATTCAAGTCCCTCCTCCCCAGGCTCCCAAACCCAGCTCTATGGAGCCCCCTGCTCAAGACTCTCTTCCTTAGGCCCTATTTTTTGTTGGGTTCTGGCTGAGGGGTATGGGGGGAGAGAGAGAGAGAGAGAGAGAGAGAAGCCTGGCCAGCTGTGTGCATTCTGGTAGGAAAATACAAATAGTCCTCATCACTTCACATCACAAAACACAGGCTCAGCCCCATCCAGGCCCGTGTCATCGTCAACTCTCCTGCTCTCCACCCAGCTCAGGCCTGGCAGTGGGGGCCTGGGGTGGACAGCAGACATGGCAGCCTCTAGCTGAGCTGCACTCTGGGTTTGCACAGGTTGAGAGCTGTCCCTCTTTCTCTATGGGCTCCTGCAAGGGTCCTCAGAGCCTGACCCCATGATCCCTTGACTAGAGTATTTCATGTGGGCCTTGGGGGACCCACGAGCTCCTCGATGCCTAGTGGCAGCTCCGCATCCTCTTGGCTGTCAGTTCACTCTCTGGGCACCCTCCTCTCACTGGACCTAGGAGACTCCCTCCAGGGTCTCTCACAGGAGGCCCATCACCTGGGCTGCTAGCCCTCTCCTTAGCTCTGCCTCCAATGCAGCCAGCCTGATTGCCCTCTAGACTTTGCAGTGAATGAGGCATCAGTCCACGGGATTTCTCAAACCGGAGGGGACATTGAGATGCTCTCTGGAGCTTTCTATAAAGCCCCTTTTCTTGCACTTGAAGTGAAGAGAGGGCGGCCGACCTCACCCCTCAGACACAGTTCACCTCCCTGAAACCTCCCTCCCCTAACCTCAGCCCCTGACTCGTTGGCTCCCACTCCAGCCCTCAGAGTGGGTAGGGGCTCAGCCACCTCGTCCCTAAATTCTGCTTCATTCGTGGGCAGAGGCCAAGGGCTGGAATGGGGTCCCCCTCTGCACATCCCCTGCCTCCCTCCTCATCCGAGCTGCAATTCTCCGTCAGCATTTGTAAGATGGATGAGTGTAGACGGTTCCAGGATGCACACACCCAGCACGTGCTAGGAAGGGCTGGGACCATGGAGAAGGACCTTTATTCTGCAACATGTGCTGTGTGCACCAGGTTGGCCACCAGCCTCCTGGTTCATGTCCTGGCAGTCACGCTAGAATCAACGGACAGCCCTGACTCGGGGAAAGTAGGGAAAGGGGAATCTGTCCACATCCGCCCAGAGCAAGGCCTCAGGCTAATTCCAGAAGACTCAGATGACGCCTGAGTGCCACTGTTTTCAGCTGCTTCATTCGGATGAGTGTTACCCTTTCCATTCTGCCCACATCCAGTCTCTGTGCCTGAGCTTTCTCAACTGTCAGGCAGGTAAATAACAATGCCTGCCTCCCAGTTAATTCATGGAAAGTGCTTCCTGACTTATGCTCAGAGCTCAATAAGTAAATATTAACTCACACTGTTTGTCCCCTCAGGTGGTTGGGCAGGCTCTTGCCATGTGGTTCTCCCTTTGTACACCTTGAGCCAGCTGGAGCTGCCCTGAGCAGCCACCTGGGACCTCAGACACCCTGGCCCACCTGGCATTTCTTTGGCAGAATTTGCCATGGGGCCTTCTGCTGGGTGGCCAGTTTGGAGCATCTGAAAGAACTCTTAGCACCCCTAATCTGTCATCCCTGCCACAGAGACAACAAGGACACTTGGTTCAAGTCACCTTGGAGACAGGGCTCTGCTCCCACATGCCCGCAGGGTTGTTTTTTTTGTTTTGTTTTGTTTTTTTGAGACAGGGTCTCAAAAAAATGGAAACTAGCATTGCCTCCAGGAAGAAACCTTCAGGGCCACCAGAACCAAGGGACCTGCTTCCAAAGCCTGGCTGGGCTTTAACTTCTGAGACCCTGAACCAGCCATGTAACTTCCTGGAGCTTCCTCTGTTCAACCAAGCTCCCTCAGAGACTGTCATGGGACAGAAGAGATTGTGACCTCAAAGAGGCTTTGTTTCACATATAAAGTAGCATTAGCATTTTAGGATCCCAGCATTTTAAAAGCCAGAGAAATAGGCAATCTATTTTTCTCTGTGGCTATTTCTGTCTCTCTGACAACTGTGGAGAGCCACCCCATCCCCAGGTGACCAGTATTACTGTGGTGTTCTCTAAACAAAAATCCTCTGCAAAAGACAATGGTCAATTATCTGGGCCACAGTTTCTGGACACTAGAAACAAAAACTGGCAGCCTTTTCTCAATTGACAGGGGGAACATCTAAGTCGACTTTTTAGGACGACTTCTAATAACCGTGGACTGAGTAACCCATTCAGGACAACTTAAAAAGCTGCTCAAAATTTGTGTCTGGGGAGCATTTTGAACAGCTTTTAAAGTTTTATATACATATATATATAACTTTAAATATATATATTTACTAAATTATGTATGCAATATTTAGTAAATGTATGTACTATATATATATATTTGCCTAACTGAGCACAAATATATGTACCATATATATATATGGTACCATTATATATATAATGTCTAACTGAGAGTATTGGGAAGGAAACAAAGCAGTGAAGTATTACAAGGCCAAGATCTGGGAAAAGAAGGCAACTCAAGAGACATATGAATGGCATCTGGGGCCATGTTCTCTACAGGATGTCTGCTGATTCCAGAAGACACTGCAAACCCCACCACCAGGAAGGCTACCTGGAAAATGTTTTATGCTTTGGATTGGGGCCCCAGAGGGTTTCACCCTATGAATATGAATGAACTGGAAGTAGATCAGCTCTTAAAGTGACTCAAATCATCTCATTCCCTACAAGTAGATTAAAGAGATCTGGCTCACTGTATCCCCAGCCACCTGCAAGACATAAACATAATCATCACAGAGGAAGATAACTTCATCCTAGACCTGAAATTACTTGTACAGGTTTGCAGATACAATGTGTGGTACTCAACAAAAAAAAACTGCCAAGTATGGGAGGAGACAGGACAGAATTAATAAAACAAGAGAAACAACAGACACTAGAAACAGACTCATGGAGGCTCTGTATAAGGGACTAACTGAACTTTAAAATAATTGTGCTCAATATGTTCAAATACATAAAATATTAAATAGGTAATTTTGATAGAGAACTGAAAATCTTTTAAAAAATTGTTTATATTCCATTTGTAATCCCATAAATTTCATTTTTAAAATGGAAGGGTGCTACTTCCCCCACATAAGTCAACAGATGATTAACCAGCAAAAAATACTTCTAGGAAAAGCGAAAACGAGGCAGTCGTGCTACATTCAAGGATGCTCATCTGACAGTAGTAATAATACATTGCGCATGAACCATTCTAATTCTTAGTAGAAAAACTTGATGGTTTATAAGATGCAGTTAAACATAGACATTTCCAGCCTGGGCAACATGGTAAAACCCCATCTCAACAAAAAATACAAAAATTAGCCAGGCATAGTGGCATGCACCTGTAGTCCCAGATATTCAGGATGCTGAGGCATGAGAATTGCTTGAGCCCAGGAGGTGGAGGTTGTAGTGAGCCAAGATTTCACCACTGCACTCTAGCCTGAGCAACAGAGCAAGACCCTGTCTCAAAACAAACAAAAACAGACACATCCTGAAACCCAGCAGACAACCATCTTAAAAGACCTTCTGCCTTTAAATAGGGGCCTGTCTCCCTTTTATCTTGTACCTGCCCAGATGCTAGCTCTACCCCTGGCCCAGAGCAGTCATGGCAAACAACAGCAGCAACAATAATAACAATAGGCAGCTTCCATATACTGAGCATTTTTTTTTTTGTGTGCCAGGCCCTGCCAAGGGCTTTCCATGAATTATCACACTTGATTTCACAACACTTTGAGGGAGCTGTGACTATTCTCCCACCTTATAAGTGGAGAAGCTGAGTGAACAAGCATCACAGCCAGGCTGTGAGTCTGGGTCTGCCTGCTCCTGACAGTAGGCTCCCAGGCTGGGACCTACTCTCCAACTGCAGATTGCTGGAATAACCCCTGGATGCCTGCAGCCAGAGGAGACCTTAGAACTCTCCTCTCCATAAACACTCATTAAACACCAACTGAGTACAGGGAACCAGCCTGGGAAACCTGGTTTTAAGGACCCAGAACCAAAGCTCAGGGAAGTGAGAACACTTTAATGGATCTGAGGTCTGTCTATCTCTTCTCTCTCTTCTTTCTCATTTCTGGAATACAGCATACAGCACTCAGAGCTGACACAGAGATGGGCTGGGGATGGCCCCAGGCCACATGCGCAGGATAGAAGGGGTAGTGCAAAATCCTGTTCTGGCTACAAGATGCCTCCTGAGAAAGCTGGGTGGGGGCTGTGGAAGATGCAGCCTTCTGAAGAGATAAGGGTGAGCCTCTAGTGTAGCTCACGTCCCAGATCCCTTCCTTGGGAGCCAGTACTCAGAGAGGAGCTAAGTGCCAGCACACCCATTTCTAACCTGAGTGCAGTCAGGGAGGCTCAGCCTTCAGACAGGCCTCCCTCACCTCACTGGGCACCAATAAATCCAGGCTGGGAACTGCAGAGGGCCCAAGGCCTTGGGGCAGTGGAGGGCTCAGGGGCCATGGGGCAGGGCCTGCAGCTAGCCCAGACCTCAGCCATGGTGACCCCTGCCTGATAAGTGGCGTTACCTGAGTGGTTTGGTTGGGCAGGATGGTCCCTAGGGCCAGCAAGGTAGCAGTGGGGATAAGGGGAAGAGGGGACAAAGGGAGAAAAGGACATCCTTGCAGGAAGTAAAAAGCCGGGAAGGGCATAAGAGGGAAGTAGGGGCTGGGGGGAGGCCAGATGAGAATGGGGAGGGCAAAGAGCTTGAGAAGGGCAGAGGGAGGCTTGGCAGGGGAGGACACATGGGAAGGGGAGTGAGGTTGGACCAGGCCTCTGTCTCGCCCCGGGGACCAGGCTCCAGCAGGCGGAGAACAGGCTCTTCCTGTGAGGATGTTCTGCAGCAGGAGGGTGAGGGGTAGACACCTGGAGGGACTGCTGGCTCTGCAGCTCCACAGATGTCCCATGTGATCCTGAGAGTGAATGATGGGTGTCGTGAGCAGAAAGGGGTAGAAAGGAACATGCAAGGTGGGGCCAGGTAAGCTGGAGCTGGGGACAGTCTAGGCCTGGATGCCAGCCTGGGTTCTGGGGCAAGAGCTACTGAATGAAGTCCTGTGGCCCAGGCTAAATCAAAGCGGAGGACAGGCACCCTTGGGGTCACCTCACCCTGTCATGGATTAAGAAGGAAACGGGTAAAGAGGAGGGAGAAGAGAGCAGGGCTGTCAGCCCTACTGCTGGATGGGCCACACCCAGCATCCAGACCCCACCATGTCCCCGAGCCTTCCTGCCCTCCTGGGCCCTGGAAACCCCAGACCCTAGCCCCTCCCCAGCCCACTCCCTCAATCCCTGGCATGGAGCAATTAAGTGAGTTGGGAAAACTCACCCATGGGGCCCTACAGCTTCAGAGAGGTGACCCGGGGGATGTGGAAAAGCTGAGTCTCCTCAGAGCTGGTGGAGCTGCCACATCAAAGAATGGGAGTGAGCATCCCCTTCCTCCCAGACTCTCAGCCCTGACACTGGGACAAGCCCAGAGAGTGAGCATCCCCTTCCTCCCAGACTCTCAGCCCTGACACTGGGACAAGCCCAGAGAGGGAGCATCCCCTTCCTCCCAGACTCTCAGCCCTGACACTGGGACAAGCCCAGAGAGTGAGCATCCCCTTCCTCCCAGACTCTCAGCCCTGACACTGGGACAAGCCCAGAGAGTGAGCATCCCCTTCCTCCCAGACTCTCAGCCCTGACACTGGGACAAGCCCAGAGAGTGAGCATCCCCTTCCTCCCAGACTCTCAGCCCTGACACTGGGACAAACCCAGAGCTTTGAAGGTTTCTCCTTGGAAGCCCTTCAGAGAATGGGAAGGGTCCCACAAAGCTGTACCTGGATGGATGCAGCAAGAGGAGTAAGGGGCAGACATATGGGAGGACTTCCCAACTTTGGAGCTACTCAGAGTGTGGCTCTTCAGGGCTTGGCCATGAGCCTCCTCTGCCTGGGAGGTCTCAGGAGGGGCTGTGGCAGGGGACCCTGGGGGCTGAAAAGACACTTCCCTGGCCCCTGATGCTGCCTGCAGAACTGGCAGCTCCTCACCTGAGGCGTTTCCGAATGGGACGGAAGTATTTGGAGGTCTTGACAGCAAAGATGATGCTGGGGATCAGGAAGAAGGTGCACCATGCCAGGCAGAACCAGAAGGCATTCTGCAACAGGGTGAGGTCGGCTCACTGCCCTATGTGGCACCCAGCACCCCACATATGGCACCCAGCCTCACCAAGCTGCCTTGTCATCAGAGCTGGGGCTGGGGCCATGCCTGGCCTCACACTCTGCTCACCTGGCCCTCCCTGGAGATCAGGAAGGCTTGGGGACTTGGTGGACAAGCCCTGATGAACTGGGACACTCACCCAAGGGTCAGCCATCATGTCACATAGGATCACACGACTGTTGTCTAGGGCTCCAGAGAGGGGCTGGCAGGTGGCGATGCGCTGAGTCACCTGTGGTGCCAACATGAGGCAGGTGATGCCAGACACCAAGACCCACAGGCCGGCACCCATATCCAATTCAGGCAGAGTGGTTGACAGGGACAGATAGGCCTGGGGACACCGCTGGGGCCACCACATGCTTTTACACACATGCAGAGAGGCAGGTACAGACAGATAAGGACACACCTTACTGGCTCCTTACTGGGCCCCTCCCCTTTCTGTCTGTTCACCAGCCTGGATTAAGGCTACTGTGACCCAGCACCATGCTTCAAGCCACTTTCACTGGGGAGGTAACATGTGTATGTACACATGCACACACACACACACTCACACACAGATACACAGACACACTCAGGGTAAAGCCAGACCCCTTCCACTCTAGTGTGGGTGTCCAGACAGCTTGCAGAGGCTATTTTCAGTAAGGATCTGCAGTGGGAGATGGGCTTTGAGGACTGGCCTCGGACAAGCTGGGTAAGGGGCTGGCCCAGGGAAGGGCCCGCAGGCCGGGTGTGATGAAACATTTTGGAGAGTGCCAAGCCCGCCCACACTCAGCTCAGGGAAGGGCTGCTGCAGAGGTGGGTGGGCAGAGCTCAGCCAGCAAGCAGTGGCACAGATGCCAGGTTTGGGAGTTTGGGTTTGATACTGAAGGCCTGGGTCATCCCCAAGGGGCTCTGGGAGTGGGGGCAGGGCAAGGCAGGGTGAACAGCTGGTCCGGTGGGGCAGGGAATCAGTCATTGCTGAGACCCCACTCACCTCCTCTCTCACCCAGGCTACATACTGGGAGAAGTAGCCCATCTCCCGGGCCAGGAAACACTCACTCACCTGCAGGAAGGAGAGGAAGTCTGGGCTGCAGGGGTCCTGGAAGAAGCTGTGCCCTCTACCCTCGACACCCCCCCCATCTAGCAACTTGAGGACAGGCCCAGCTTTCCTGGGAGCCAGTGAGAAGCCAGGACTGGAGAAGCCTGGGGTGGAAACCCCTTCCCCCATCCCACCCGCCACTCACATTCCTCAGGATCCTGGTGGCCCAGGCAGGCAGCTCTCCTTTCAGGTAAGTGACATTGGCTAGGATATCTGAGGTTTCCAGCTGGAGGGGATGAGAGCCTCAACTCAGTGCCCCACACTCACACATCCATTCATTAATTCAACGCACACTGCAGCACACTCAACAGGAGACGGTTCAGCCCTGACAGACTTGCCAAGGGTGGTGATCCCCCAGGCTCTGCCCACACCCCCAGCTTCCTCCGGACCCCACCCCACAAGCTGGGTGGAGTTCCAGAGTGAGATGGGCTCCTGCTTCCTCCCTTCCTATGCAGTCACCGCTCTACCCCCTCAACCCCTCCCCTGACCTCGCACCACACATCCCCACCCCCAGCAGCCACCTGGAGATTCGGAGCAGAGGACTCCAGGGTCCTGACGCTGAGGTTGAGCTTTGCCTGTGGAGAAGAGATCAGGGCTAGTTAGAGGAAAGAAGGAAAGGGAAAGGAAGGAGGGAAGGAGGGAGGAAGGGAGGAATTCTCAGAGCTTCCCTCCGCTTTTACTCTCCCCTCTCCAGCTTTCCTCTCCTCCAGGACCATGCTCTCTGGGCCTCCAAACTGACCACAAGGCTCTGCTGGGGGACAACCTTCTCCTGGTGGAGGTTTCTGAGTCCGTGGGCCTCCTCCTGCAGCCGCTGCCCCAGCAAAGAATTGCCCTGAGAGGAGACAGAAATCAGAATGGCCCTGACCAGTACCCACCTACCCCTCACCCAGACTTTCAATCCAATATACCAAGGGGAGGTGGGGAGTGCTGGGCTCAGAGGCAGAAAACTGAGGCCTCCTTAAGCTCCAGGGCCTGATGTGCGTTTGGGGGCCTAGGTCCAGCTTCTAGGTCCACTCTAGCTTGCTGGGTGCCCCTAAGTCAGCTACAGAACCTGCCTGTGCTGCAGGGGCACCTGCTGAAATTGAGGATGCTCCTGGCTCTACCCACCGTATGGAGTTGTTGCAGGGCCTATCAGATGTTTCAAAGAGAACTTTTAAACCCTAAATAATTATAAATACAAAGTGCTATTTTTCTCCTCAAGGGCAACTTGGGAGGCTGAGGCAGGAGAATTGTTGAACTCAGGAGACAGAGGTTGTAGTGAGCTGAGATCAAGCCACTGCACTCTAGCCTGGAGACAGAGTGAGACTCTGTCTCAAAAAAAGAAAAAGAAACATTTGACCAACTGTGTGAGGCCAGAGAAGTTATTTCATTTTCTCTGAGATGAAGGACAGTTCACCCCACAGTGTTTCTGGCTCAGAAACACTGCATGGCTTGCCCAAGGCCACGCAGCCAATGGGTGGCAGAGCTCGAATCAGAACTGATGCTGCAAAACCCTCCAGCCCAGCCAAGGGTCAGGAGCCTCAGGCCCCACTGGTATGGGTCCTCAGTTCCCTGCCTTTACCCTCACATCCTCCCACCCTCTCCCACCTCCCAACCCCCCTGTGGCTCCTACTGCCCAGTGGGGGCCCTGATTCCCTCTCACCTGGGCCTGGGCCAGTCCTTCCAGCTCCTGGGCCAGCTGCTCTGTGCTGGTCTTCACCACGGGTCTCTGGATCTGCAGGCAGATAGGAGAGGCCAGGAGGGATGAACCCAGCTCCCCTGGGGCCCACCTCCACCTGCCCCCAGCCTCCAACTCCTCAGTCTCATCAAATACAATCTACACCAGTTGAGTGTATTGTGACACATCAGTCACAGCGGGTTTTCCCTGGAACTATGAACTATTTCAGACATTTTCCAAATGAGATAGAAACAAGAACAAATGAGGCACCCTCTGGTGTAACTCAGAAACAAGAACAAATGAGGCACCCTTTGGCGTAACTCAAGGAAGAGGCAACTTCCCACTGAGTCCCCTGCAGCAGTGGATTCAGAACCATGAACAGCAACATGGTCCACTGGACTGGAGGAGAGGGTGTCCATTCCCGAATGACCTGGGTGGTGACATGAGGACAGGTCCAGGGCACATGGTCTGGGGACACCTCCACAGGAAGAGGCCCAAGGAAACATGTGGAGGAACCCAAAGCTGGGACAAGGTGAGATGCACACCCAGTTCCTCTGTGGGCCCCTTTGTTCCATCACCACCTGGCTGAGGAAGCCCAGCTGAGGTACACACTGCTGACCTGAACAAGGAAGTCGGGGTAGTGGATGTGCTGGAGCCCACTGCTCTGCAGGGCCTCCAGGTCCCGGCGGGCGGCTGAGCTCAGCAGGTCCAGGCTCTGTGTGTCTATTTTCAGGCTCTGCAACTCCTGCTGTAGCTTGTTCGTATACTGGGAGGGCAGGTACAAGGGGGAGTCATGCCCAGTTGTTGAGCCAGGACCCCAGAGATGCTCCCGTAAGTAAGGGGGTCACCAGGCGATATGGTTTGGATGTTTGTCCCCTCCAAATTTCATGTTGCCATACACCTTACTGCAGCCTAGATCTCCTGAGCTTCAGTGATCCTCCCACCTCAGCCTCTCTAGTAGCTGGGACTACAAGTGCTAAACACCACACCTGGCTTTTAAAAATAAAACCTGTAGAGAGGGGGTCTCCTCATGTTGCTCAGGCTGGTCTTGAACTCCTAGATTCAAGTAATCCTTCCACCCCAGCTTCCCAAAGTACTGAGATTACAGGCATGGACCACCATGCCCGGTCTCAGGTATTCCTTATAGCAACACGAGAACAGACTCACACAGCAGGCCCTCAGGGCCCCCTGCCCTGGGAACCCCAAGCCCCAGACAGGCTCCCAGTAGGTACCTGCCCCAAATTGCCAAGATCTGGCCTTCCTCCAGTGCCCATCTGGCTTCTGGGCCAAGACAGATCTTCCCTGGCCACCTGAAATAATATAGCTTTCCCAGACCCTCTTTATCCTGTCAGCTGTGTCAAGGCCTTCAAAATGCCTGTTGCTCTGAAATGATCTTATTTGTAGGTAATTGTTCATTGCTGTCAGCTCTACAAGAGTGGGGCCTTGCCTGCATATTCTGCCCTGATCCCCCAGCATCTATCTGCCCTGATCCCCCAGCATCTAACTCAGAGGCTCACACATGGTGGGCAGGGTACAAGTTTGTTAGCTACAGGAATGAATGAATGAATGAATGAATGAATGGACACAACTGCATTTTCAGGAAAGAGCCTCGGCATTTTTCTGCTATCACTGGAAGAGATTTAGAGGTTGTAAAATTCAGCCCCAGTGTTTAACAGGCAAGAAACTGAGGTCAGAGTGGAGCAACCACTTGGGAGGTGACACAACAGGTTAGAGACTGCAGCCCAGCTTGGCTCTCCTCTCCCCATTCCTCCAGGCTGCCTTCTCCTGGAGGAGAAAAGGCCTGGCCCTCTCAGGTGGGGGTCTTCAGGCTGTGTCTCTGGCTGGCAGCAGCTGCAGGAGAAGTGGGAAGTGGGTGGTGCCCCCCATTCTCTGGAAAGCCCTGTGTCATGCACATGTCTGCATGCCCATTAGTATCTCCTTTGAGGTTGAGGATTCTTATGGCCACATTTGGTACATTGCCAGGTGGCCTCAGAGGACTGCCCAGTGCATCAGAATCCAAAGCCTATCTGTCCAGACCTTTCTGTGAGCTGGACTCTCCCCTGCCCAGGACCAGAGCAGAGACTCCTCCCCTTGAGAGCCAAGACTTCCTGCCAGCAGGGGGATTGGGCTCCTCTGCCCAGGGCCCTGGTTCAGCCATCCCTGGCCAGCCTTCCTCCACAGGATAGTGTCTCAGCCTAACACTGAGGTATTGCCTGCTCCAAGGACCTCCTGTCTGGTTAAAGATGCGGAAGGAGGAGTGAGCTCTATAACTGTCCCAAGTTGTGCAGTTCAAGGCACAGATGGGACTGGGCCATCTGGCTGTGCTGTCTGTGGGCTGAGGCTGGTTGGTGGATCCAGGGGTTGGAAGGATTTCCCGGAACAATGCAAAATCAGCAGTTAGCATGCTCTGTGTTTGGGGAGGGAGGGAGGACCTGGCGGGCCAGGGGATGTGGGTTTCCCTAGGATCTGCTTAGGAGCCTGGAAGTCGAGGAGGGCATGTCTTACAGCTTCTGTGCAGCATGAGGAGGACCCATTCTCAAAGTCCATTCCTCTTGTGAAACAGCCCTTCCTTGCCTTTGTTCTAGAACTGTCTTGACAGCATTGGCAAGTGTCTCCAGTTCCACACACCAAGTTCCAGCAAAGTCCAGTGGTTACGGGAAGAGGCTCGTGTGTCAGGCTGGAGGTGGAATCCTGCCGCCACCACCTCCCACCTGCATGAGCTTGGCAGGCCCTTCACCAGCATTAGCCAGACTCGTCACCATCCTTGTTGCTGCCATGTCCCTCCCCAGTCTCCCCCTCCCAACTGGAGCATCCCAGCCAATGCCCATCCTCAGTCAGGACACCCCCCTCGTACCCCTGCTCATTGTCATCAGCCTTTCCTGCTGCCACCGTGGCTGTGCTCGGGTCTGGCCATAGCCTTCAGGTGCACACAGACACACCCACACACCCAGAACCTTCCCCTGGGCTGGTAGCTGGGCCTCTGCCCTTAATCACTCAACACAACTTCTTGGGTCTCCTAGGTTCAAAGAGATGGTGCCTCCACAGAGGCAAAAGGACCAGAAGAGAGGGGTCTGAGGAGGGCTCCTCACAGTTCCCAGAATGTTCTCTCACCTGGCTGATATCCAGGTGCTCCTCCAGGTTGTAGGAGTCATTGAGCTGCAGGACTGTCCAGAGTGCTGCCCCTTCCTTGCACTGCCTAAGGAGGAGCCAGGAGGAGCCTTGTGGGTGGCAGGGGTGCTGAGGTCCCTGAGGGACACCGGCCCTCCTCCTTCCTTCCCTGGTGCCTAGCCCTGCCCAGGCCATCCACTCACCGATAGGCTTGGTGGATGCTGATGTTTTTCCTCAGGCCGAGAAGGTGCGACAGGTTCATGGATGGGGGCAGGTTCCCTGGGGTGTCTGCAAACTGGGGATGGGTAGTGAGAAATGGGCACAGAGAGGGGTGGCGGCGAGGCCACCCTGGTGCTGTAGGGCCTGGGCCCATGCCTCGGTGGCACAACAGAGACCAGGGGTAGGACACATACCCTCACCCTCACTCACACCTGGCCTCTGACTCTGATGAGTCCCAGGCTCTAAATCCTCACAGGGGCTCTTCCCACAGATTCCTAGGAGGGATGACCAGCCCAGTCTTCCACAGAGAACCCAGTCCAGCATCTCAGCTCACCGGGCACCAGGGTCCCAGCTCCCAGACAGTGTTAGGAGAGGAGAGGGCATGGGTCAGTGTGCCATCTCTCAGGGTCCCTACCCTGGGGCCTGGGCAGCATCCCAGGGACTCATGGGTACTTTCTCTCTCCCTCCCCCATCAACGGGTGGATTTCTGTCTCTTTCCTTAGCCATGTCCATCTCACTCCTCCCCTCCCTGTCTCCCTCTAACCCCCTCTGACCCCCACTTTCTCTCAACCCTCTTGCTCTGCCCACACCACCCCCACCTCCCTCCCCAGGAGAGCCTGTAAGCAGAGACAGGCTTACCTCAAAGAGCTCACCGCTCTCCCAGCTCCGGCACACCAGTGTCTGCACATTGCCACCCACCAGGAAGGTGGCAAACACCAGGAGGATGAGGGGGGCAGCGAAGAGGAAGCTGAGGCCCACACCTCTGGGGAAGGCGAGAGGCAGGACTGAGGGGCAGCAGGGACTGGCTGCCCTGACCATACCCTCTGTCCCACCAGCACCCCAGGGCCAGCCTGCTTAGTCAGCTGGCCCCAGGACAGAGCATTTACGGGAGAGGAGCTTGGAGGATTTGGCCTCCTGGGGAAGAGGGAGAACCCAAAACTGCTGACAGTCCCAATCTCACCTTCACCTTGTACCCACCCTGTCCCTGGTGCTCTGGCTGGCCCTGGCAGCCTAGAGGAGAGAACAGCTCTTTTGTTCAAAGATCCAGGACTTGCTGGGTTCACACCTGTACTCCCAGCACTTTGGGAGGTTGAGGTGGGAAGACAGCTTGAGTCCAGGAGTATGAGACCAGCCTGGGCAATATAGTGAGACCCTAAAAAAAATCAACAATTAGCTGGGCATAGGAGCACATGCCTATAGTCCCAGCTACTCCAGAGGCTGAGGCATGAGAATTGCTGGAGCCCAAGAGGTTGAGCTGTAGTGAACCATGATTGTGTCGCTGCACTGCATCCTGGGTGACAGAGCAAGACCCTGTCTTAAGAATAACAAACAAAATAAAAACAAACCCGAAGAGCCAAGACGGCTCACTTCTGTGCCTAGGGCCAGCACTCAGAAAGGTAACCTGGCATGGCCAGGCATGGCCCACCAACAGGGCAGCATCCCAGCAGATCTGAGGAGTAAAGATCTTAGACCAGAGGGCTCAAAGACCTTGTGAGGTGGGCACAACCCCATACCAGGCTGAGGCTTGGAGAGAAAAACGGGTTGGATTTCAGCCCCCATTTACCCCTGTAACGAGGCACTCTTGCTTAGTGAACAGGCTATACACCCGTATGTGGCAGCCTTGGCCTTAGAGACCATCTAGTCTGTGGCTGGCAACAGATTCCACCTCTGGTGCTGCCCCTTATTAGTGAGGGTAAGGACTCTAGGCTTTGTCTGACTCAAGGGAAGGAGTGCCCATTAGGTGCTACAGCTGCCCCTGCTGTAGGAAGGAAGTGCTCCTTGTTGGCCATTCCTGCTCTGGTCTAGCCCCTTTATTGAGATGAGGATACTGGCAGATGTGCTCAGGAGCCACAGTAAGTGGCCAGCCCTGTGCTTGAGGTTGGGGGGTGGCGTTCCATCTCCCAGCCCTCTCTTACGCCATGAGGAAGCGGGCTCCAGCTTCGCCCTTGGCTTCTGAGTGGCTGGGGTCTTCCCTGGCAGACAGGCCCCAGATGCCCAGGTTGAGCCCTAGCAGGTTGCAGAGCACCACGAGCAGGACCACTGAGCACAGCACACAGCCCACGATCCACCTACCACAGAGAGGACGTGGGTGTTACTAAGAAGGGAGGTGGCTGGCACCAAGATGGGGCAATGGGGGACCTGGCAGCTAGGTGTGGCCTCTAACCCCAAGGCTGGGGCTTCAGAAGTGCACATGCAGACCCTTCCCAAGACCCTACTGCTCCTGTGTGGCCTCCAGGCTCAGGCTCTGAGGGCACAAAACCTGGTAAAGACTTGGAGGCCTGTGGAGTCAGGGGTTTTGGCTTAAAAATACACAGAGGCGCACGGTGGCTCACGCCTGTAATCCCAGCACTTTGGGAGGCCAAGGTGGGTGGATCACAAGGTCAAGAGATCGAGACCATCTCCTGGTCAACATGGTGAAACCCTGTCTCTACTAAAAATACAAAAAAAAAAAAAAAATTAGCTGGGCATGGTGGCGCGTGCCTGTAATCCCAGCTACTCAGGAGGCTGAGGCAGGAGAATTGCCTGAACCCAGGAGGCGGAGGTTGCCGTGAGCCGAGATCGCACCATTGCACTCCAGCCTGGGTAACAAGAGCGAAACTCCATCAAAAAAAAAAAAAAAAAAAATACACAGAGGCTCAGGGGCTGATAGGATCTGGGAATGGGGCTCAGGGTGGCATAGAGGCTGGGCTGCCCACCCCACCCCACCTCATTCCACCCTGCGGGTGCCGAGCACCTGTAGGTCTCGTATCTCTGCACCTCCTGCAGGTAGGGGCGGCTGCTCTCTTCCACCTCTTGCAGAGCCTGGGCCCAGTGGGAAGCCGATTCCGAGCCCGGGAACCCTTCAGCCAGCGTCCTCAGCCCTTCTGGCTGCTGGGCCACTGCCTTCTTCAGCTCTGCCCAAAGTAGCAGGGACTTGTGGGATGCGGAGGGCACCCTGGGGCCCAGGGACAAGACAAGTGGGCAGGAAGAACGTCTGGGAACCACAAAGGGAGGACAGCCCCCCACTGTCCCACTCCACTCTCAACAAGCCTCCCTGGTAGGGGTGGGGTGGGAAGCCATGCTGGGCAGCTGCCTCTAACTCATGCAGCCTCACCTTGTACCACGCTGGCCGTCTGCATGGCAGCCAGGGCTGGAAGGGCATTGAAGGTGCCGTTCTCCTGCAGGAACCAAGTGGGGTTGGGCCTCCCCATCTCTGCCAAGTATCCCCTCTTAGGAGACCCCAAAGTCACCAGGTCTAGAGGGAGAGGAGGGGAGGGGAGGGGAGGCGAGGGGCGGGGAGGGGAGGGGAGGCGAGGGGAGGGGAGGGGAGGCGAGGGGAGGGGAGGGGAGGGGAGGCGAGGGGAGGGGAGGGGAGGCGAGGGGAGGGGAGGGGAGGGGAGGTCCCCCCCTCAGTGCTCCAAGCTTCCCTCTGTTCTCTTGGTCACTGCCCTCCTCTCCCCTCCCTCCACCCAGCCTGACTCAACTTCCCAAAATATTGCTCCTCCCAAAACCTCTTCTTCCTATCCCGCCCCTCTCCCACCACTGCAGTGAACTCTTAGCCGCCCTGTATACAATTGCCAGGTCTAGCTCTTAAAGGTCCAGCTCAACCCACCCTTCCAGACTCAGCTCTGACTTCCTTCCTTCTGAAACCTTCCACTCCAGCCACCCAGCATGGCTGACTCACCATTTCCCCAGCTTCATGTCCCAGTCCTGGGCACTGACTCACATCGTGCCCTCCCCCTTGGCCCATCTCCACCCGGGGAGCCGCCTGCCCTCTGGGCTCAGCCTAAGCCCTGCTCTCTTGCCATCCCCACCGCCTTGAAGGTCCCAACTCTCCCTTCTGAGCACAGATCATGTGCACACCAAGGATGGTCATCAGGAGTCCCCTGCCCAGGGTGCTGTGTGGTGGGTGGGGCCCCAAGTCTCAGGTACAGCTGAGTTCCTGTCCAAAAGGTAGAAATGGAAGCCCTCACTTGGCAGGTGAGGGAGGAATCAGGCAGACCAAGTGGCTCTCACCTCCTGGACCATGCTGGAGAAGTTGGCCTCGGGGACACCCTTTAGCCGGTGCAGCACATGGTCCACAGAGGGCACCTGAAATGGGAGAAGGGGGGGTTATGACAAAGTTCATGGAGAGGCCTGAGGGGGATCCCTAGGGGCAGATGGGGGGGCAAATGTCTCTGAACCCCAATGTCCTCAAGTGTAAAATGGGGACTGCCATGGCTCCTACTGCCCCTGGCAGCAACAAGAACTCCAGGAGCTCACCCATGTGAAACTCATGCACAGGGCATCATGGCCTGAGGAGTGCTCCACCCACTGCCAGGATGACCTGCATTAACCCTGGGTGGGTGGAGCAAGGGAGGAACAGCGGGGGAAGGGATTAGGAATTTGCCTCGGGGATCCCAGGAGTGGCAGGCAGCCAACCCGCTGTGGCTTTAAGAGGACTCTGTCCCGGGTCTGCACCTGGCTGAAGTCAGCAGCCAGCTCCAGGGTGCGGGCCCGGCTCAGGGCCCCTGCACAGTCTCCCTGGCACCCAGACTCCTGCAGCAGCTCGACAAGGCGGTCCCGGTGTTCCCGGATGGCTGGCTTCAGGTCCTGCTGCCCAGCCTGCAGCTCCACCACTGTGGCATTCAAGGCTTGCAGGTGGTGCATGGAGACCTGCAGGACTAAGAGGCCCACATCCAGCCTGAGCAGTATCCACCATAGGCATCCCCAGATGCCTTGCAGGAGGCAGAACTCCCCTCCCCCAGCCAAAGGGACCTGCAAATCATTGACCTCCTGCCTACAACGAACGCTGTCCCAGTGCCCGTTAAATCAGGGGAAGGGGGCTGGATCCTGGGGTACAGCAATGGGGAAGTCAAAGGTAGGGCAGAGGCAACTCAGGAAATCCAGGGCTGGGTGCAGGTGGGATTGCCCCAGGAGGCACCCACTGGGCCCCACACCATCCAGGCGTGGCTCCAGCTCACCCTGGCCCAAGCTGCCCACAGCTGCCAGCAAGGGGTACATGGTGCTCTTGAGCTGAGTATGGATCGCACTCCCGATGCTCACCCCGACACCTGCAGAGCACAGGGCAGTCTCAGGGTGGGTCCCAAGAGTGAAGGGGCCCTCCCCATACCCATCCTGCCTCTGCAGGCCCCACCGGGCTCTGCAGGAGCCAGTGGGGGGCAGGTGGCACAGCTTCTCCCTCCAGCAGCTGAGTGGCAGCCACACTTTCCAGCTGGCCTGATCCCCACCTTTGCCAGCCTGTTCCCAGATGGGTCTGGAATGAGGGAGTGAGAGGTCCCCACTGAGGTGCCCAAGCAGGGGCCCTAGAGCCAGCTTGCCTGCCAGCCCCTGAGACCCTCACCATCCAGCTCCTCCAAGACTCGCTCCTGGGGCAGGAAGAACTGCTGTGCCATGGCCTGCAGCTCCTAGGCAAACACAGGGCCCTGAGGCTGCCCTTCACAGTCACCCAAAGCCCTGACCCCCACCTCTCCCCAGCCCCCTCCCTGACCCCATAGCATCCATCTTGAGGGTGGCTGTCTGTCTGGCAGAGGCAGGCAGGGGCAGAAGGGGTGGCCTTCTGATGTGCTGCTTATGGGCCAGTGAGGGCCCACTGGGCTCCATCCTGCCTGGGCCCAGTGCTCACAGGGGCACATGGGGGTGTGGGTGACAGTGCTCACTTGGGGGACATTGGAGACCAGGCCCTGGAGGCTGAGCAAGGTCTCAGGCACGGCCTCGATACTAGGGCCCGTCTGTTCATGCGTGTGCTGGTTGGTGACGAAGGCACAGACCACGCCAATCCTGTGGGAATGGAGGGAGGAGGAAGGGGCTTGCCGGATACAAGGGAGCCTGGGGCCATGGCCCACCCTGCCTGGGGCCCTGGGCAGTTCCTTACAGCAGCACGAGGGTGGTCAGCAGCAGGAAGGCCATGAGGGCCGTGCGCTCACAGGCCAGTGCCTTGTGCTCTGTCTTCACTCGGCCCCCGCAGTGCCGGTGGTAACGGCAACAGCAGAAGCAGAGCCCGGTGGCGGGCACCAGCAGCATGTAGAGGCCCGCGATCACAGCACACACCACGTAGCCTGCCTCATACTGCACCACCTGGGCAGGTGGCAGGGCATGAGGGGTGGCCCAACCCCACTGCCCAGCCCTGGCTCCTGCCTGAATCCAGAGGGAAACCAGAAGGCACGGGAGTGCCATCAGGGGCATGGCCTGCATTTCATGGAACCTGTCCCAGAGGAACTGCTCGCCACCATCTCACACAGGAGGAAGCTGAAGCTCAGGAGGTTCCAGCTCCCTGCAAACCTCACTGCCAGTAAACCGCAGATCTGTGGTTTGCATCCAGGTCTGCGGATTGCAGCGCCCGTGGAGAAGGGGAGAGGATGCCCCAGCCCCTGCCTGGTGGACACCCGGCAAGATGGGCTGAGTGGAGCCAAGGCTTTTCTGCTCCCGCCCTGCTGCTCACCCCAGAACTCCCTCCCCTAGCACCTTTCCCCTGATTGCTCACCTCATTCACCTTCACCGAGGCCAACTCATTCAGCAGGGCCTTTACCAACTCTATCGGAAAGAGCCGAGCTAAGGATGTGGGGGCAGCCACTGCCCTGCGCCTGTGTCTATCCTTTCCCCACTGCCAGGGCAAAGTGGCTCTGGAACAGGGCTCCTCCCACCACCATGGCACCCTCGAAGAAAGCTGCATCACGCAGCCCTGCATCGTCCTGCCCTGACCTCAGCACTGCTACGGGAAGGCGAGTGGAGGAAAGGCCTGCAGATCTCCTCCTGGACCCTACAGGTCTGTCTGAGCCTGGGCAAAGGCAGAGAAGGGGCCTGGCCTGGCAGTTCTTCCCTTCAAGCAGCAAGGGATAGGACTGGGAGGGTCCCTCAGCTGCTCCTGGACACCCCAACCCAAGCACCACTAGAGTCAGAGGATGTCTGAGCCAGGTCTAAAGTATTTCTAATATAACCTCCTCACTTTACAGATGGAGCACCTGAGGCTCTGAGAGGAAATGAGGCCTGCCCACAGTCACATACCAGGTTCTGGGGCCCTCCCCAGATGCTGCCCTTTCTACCCCAGGAAGATGGCAAGTGCCTTCTGGTAGACTGGGCACATCCCATGGTAGAGGGGGACAGAGAAAGCCTGGCTAGGGACTCAAATGCTGAGGCCCTCATCGGGGATAGGCACACTCACCTGAAGGGAAAGGATTGAGCTGCACCACGGAGAGGAAGCGGCGCACAGTCCCATAGAGGGAGTCCAGGGGCCCTGGAGCACGAACTCGAGGGGCCAGCCACCGGGCTCTGGCTGCTGGGGTGAATGCCAGGTGCTCTGCCTGGCCGATAGACCTGCAGTCTGTGGCCCCCGCCGCCAGCTGACTCAGGGCCAGGCCCAGGCCCAGGCCCAGGCCCAGCAGGGGAGCCAGCAGAGCCCGTGCGTGCCTCATGGGGTCGGGAAGGTAAGGCGCTCAGACTCAGGAGGGAACAGGCAAGCCCAGGGAAGGCCGTGCATCCTTCTCCAGCCTCTGTCAATCTCTCCACAGCTCTCAAAACCTGCCTGACAGGTTTGGGTTCCTGAGCTAGCTTGCCTCCCGCCTCCCTGCCTGCCTGGCTTGGAGCAGAGGAAGGGCAGGGGTGGAGGTTCAGAGTAAGGGGCAGGGCCAGGCTGGAATCGCCCTTGGTGGCTTGGGGTGGAAGCCTGGGCTCCCCACCACCCAGATTTTTGCAGGCGAGTGCTGCCTCCAAGCTGAGTCCAGAAGGCACCTCACCAGCTCGGGATCACCTAGGGTGGCCCCATTTCAAATATTCTGTTCCATGCCCAGACCCAGCAGCCCTGTCTGGGAGCTGTGAAAACAGCTTCCCGGTGAAGCCCTTGCCAAAATGATCATAAGACTAGACACACAGGGCCAGGACACAGGCTTGCTCTCCCTGCTTCACCTGGAAGATGCTCTGTCCCCACAATTCATGCCCGTTGCCCACTACCAGGCCAACCTGGGACAGAGGCCCACCTGACAGGCACAGGCCTTTGGGAGGGCAAAACCCAGAGGTGTGTCTTTTGGCCTGGCTATACCCCATCCAGTCAGCAGCTGAAAGAACTGATAGGATATGCCCCGAAATGTGTCTGCACAGGTCTCTGTTTTGTAAACAGCTGTATGCCCAATACCCAGAAAGTAACCTGTAACTGAGCAGGTCATGGGGAAATTCACGGAAGGGCTGGAGGATATCAGAAACAATCCCGAAAGCAAAATGAGTCTCTTGCATCACACACTGGGCAGTTGCTAAAGAGCATGCTGTGGAAATGTTTCTTGTGACTGAAGAATACTCACATGCACTCATAAGTGCAAATAGCAGATTACAGACCAGTACACGCAGTGAAGGTGTGAAATGGCGATCATTTCTGGGTGGAGTGGCTGGCGATTTTTCATTCTGTTTTGCTCACATGTACTTCCTCATTTCTGTACATTAAACGTGTGGTACTTGTATTTAAAGAAGTAATTGAGACCAGCACAGTGGCTCGTGCCTGTAATCCCAGCAGTGTGGGAGGCCGAGTTGGGTGGATTACAAGGTCAAGAGCTTGAGACCATCCTGGCCAACATGGTAAAACGCCATCTCTACTAAAAATACAAAACTTAGCTGGGCATGGTGGCACACACCTGTAGTCCCAGCTACTCAGGAGGCTGAGGCAGGAGAATCACTTAAACCCAGAAGGCGGAGGTTGCAGTGAGCTGAGATAGCACCACTGCACTCCAGCCTGGCAACAGAGCAAAATTCTGTCTCAAAAAATTAAAAAGGGAGTAATAGAAGTTTATGAGATTCCATGGCAGCTCCCTGCCCATGCCCAGAAGCCTTGCCGAGAAGGGCCGGCTCTGTGGCTCCTAGGACCCCCAAGCTCAGCCCAGGACAATAGGTGAGAACGGTCTGTGGGGTGGGTGAGGTTCAGGGATGTCCAGCTGTCCCTGGTGGGGTTATCAGGGAATTCGGGCCCTAAGTGTGAGTCAGGCCTGGGCCCACAGTAGAGCTCCTACTCTCCCCATTGCTGCCTCTGTGGCTTTCTCAGAGCCAGGGGAGAAGAAAACACAGTGGCAGAAGGCATAGTCCAGTTAATAGTGGGGTGCAGACAGGAAGCAGGGCCTCATCAAGGGGTGATTCAGAGATGAGGATCAGGGACATAGTGAAGAATAATCTGGGAGTTCCCTGGCACCCCAGGTCTGGTGGAAGCAGGCTGTGGACCCCAGGGAGGGTCTAGGGCCACTTCCTCCTGTGGGGGTCCGACGCCAGTGTGTGCAGAGAGGCCCTTGGCCACACTGCCTATGACAGTGCTGTGAAACTCAGTGAAGGCTGAGCCCACCTGGGCCCACCCACAGCTCTTCCTCCCAACTCACCTGAGCCCAGCATCTGTGTTGGGGGCTCCTGGTTCCCCTGAGACTGCATTGAGGAAGGGCTGGTCTCTCCAGCCTCACTGCTTCTCCCTTCTCCTCCCTTCAATTTAGGCTGTCAGGAAGAATGCCTTCCCCTGGGATGGCCTTCTAACTCCCCAGCAGCAGCAGGATGGACACAGCCCTCACCTGAGTACCTGCCACTTAGGCGATTTTGTGTCTTTTGACTTGGGTGCTCTAGTGGTGGGGAAATTCAGGTCCCAGCTTCCTGGTTAGGACTAGAGGACCTTGGGGACCTGGGAAATAAGCAACTTTGGCCTCACGTGCTCCACTCCCACCCTCTCTCTCTTCTCAATTATTGTCATAATTAAGTCAATCATTGGTTACTGCTATTGTTTTTATACGTGTGTATGGTAAAAACACCATCATTTGGAGATAAGATTTCCCCTAGGAAAAACAAAAACATACCAAGCCTCTTCCTCGGCCCAGGGCGGGAGGGTTGATGAAGATGCTGAATCTGCATGTTCAACAGATGGAGAAATAGATGTTTGGAAGAAAGGACTATTCTGAGTCGGCGGCCAAACCAGGAGAGGACGTGACAGCTCCCCTTCCCCAGTGGGATACCAATAAACAGTTTATCATCAGACCCGCCAGTCAGCCCCTACCTCCTCCCACCTGCAGCCCTACCTGGCAGAGCAGGTGGGGTTCAAGATCCAGCCCTGGAGCTGGGCAGAGGAGGCAAGGAAGTCTCTGCTCTAATTGAATTCCATGGGAAGGCCCAGGAAGCAGGCGGGTGGGAGCTGCTTATCAGCATGGGTGCCCCTGGGGCAGCTACTAAGGGCCTGGGGCAGGCAGGCTGCCCAGCTGGAGGGCTTCTGGAAGTGGGAATGGGGGGCCAAAAGGTGATCAGGGCCTGGTGCCTCCTTTTCCTCACATCTTTCTGGGCACACCTGTACTCTTTCTGCTCCTGCTGACCCCTGGCACCCTCTGACCTCCATGGGGAATTCTTTAGTTGACCAGGAGAAGCTGCTCCTAGTTGCCCTGGAAACACCTCCTGGGGCCACGTGCTCACCCTGACTCATGCATCTCCAGAAGATCCATGTTTCCCAAGCCCCACAGCCCCAAGGTGAGGAAGAGGGGGGAAAGGCAGAGACCTGAGCAAGGGGAAGAACTCTGCCCTCCAGAAAGCCCCTGGGGCCCTCTGGCTGCCTCACGCAGCCACGCTGGGAACAGATGGGTGAGATACTCAGACACTCTTAAGGAAATCGCAGGCAAGAAGACAGGCTCCTCTCTTTCTTGCCTCTGCTACCCATGCCATACACTGGAAATGCGTTTTAAACCAACTCAAGGGGCCAAAGACCCATTCATCAGACCATCAAGGCTTTGGCAGAGTCACTGTCTTAATCAACACTTTTGATGGCAGGAATGAAAAACCCACTTAGGCCAGTGGAAAGATGTGAAACATGAGGATCTATTATAGAGATACAGGGGCACTTTTGGAGCCCAAGGGGCCTCAGGAGGGCTCAGATCCTGGAACAGGAAATCCACCAAGGGCTCCTGTGTCTGTCTCAGACCCTCTCTCTGGGACGGGGCCTCTCCCCGCTGCACATCGGCCTCCTCTGCAGAACAGACTCTCTGCATACAACATGGCAGAGAGGGCTGAGTCTTCCTGTTCTCCCAGGTGGTCCTACTATGAGTCCCACCAACACCACAGGCCACTCTCTCTGTCCTAGTGGGAGGAAAATGATGGTCCCAACTGGAGGCAGGGTATCCCAGTCTACCGGGACCTCTGACCACAACAGACTTACATGGGGCAAGCATAGCGGCTGGGCCCAAGCTTGCAGTGTGTGGTGGCTGCCCCTGCCTGACTTCTCGTCCCTTGTTCCTGCATATAGCTACCCATCCAGTCTTCCAGCACCCCTCCTGAGAATGGCTTCAGAAAGGACCATCGTAATTGCAGATGGACCCCGGGACTCCCCTGCTTCAAACCTCCTAACAGCTCCTGCACTGGACCCCTTAGTTTTTCTCTGGGGCCTTCCACCACCAGAGCCCTTCTCAGTTCTCTAGGCTAGTTCTTGCAGTCCTTGGCTCGCCACACTCCCCTCCATCCTGGCCCTGGGCATGATTCCCCCTCTTTGTCTCCAGCCTCCATGTTCACACAATTTCTGCTCATCCTTTAAGACTTGGTTCAGTGGTCACCTTCTCTAGGACCTCCAGTCTGAGTGAGGGTCCCTTCAAGGCATCCCTTTAATATGAAACCTGCTCCCATATTATCCATTCACTTGTCTGCCTTCTCTACATAGACAGGATTGAGTTTTACTCATTGTCACACCCTCTTCAGTCCTGAACACAGAACTCAGCATATTATCAGCTTATTCTCCAATCTCTAAACTTTGGAAAAGCACATTTGAATATATTTAATGATAATATTCATTCCCCATAAGGGCCATTAAAATAAACAAACCAAAAACCTGGCTGTGCGCAGCAGCCCGTGCCTGTAATCCCAGCACTTTGGGAGACCAAGCTGGGCAGATTACTTGAGGCCAGGAGTTCAAGACCAGCCTAGCCAACACAGTGAAACTCCATCTCTACTAAAAACATAAAAATTAGTTGGGTTGATGCCTGGCACCTCTAATCCTAGCACTTGGGAGGCCAAGGTGGGTGGATCGCTTAAGCCAAGGAGTTCAAGACCAGCCTGGCCAACATGGTGAAACCTGGTTTCTACCAAAACTACAATTAAAAAAAAAAGAAAGAAAAGAAAAATAGCCAGTCTTATAACCTGATCTTTAAATAAATAAATAAAAGTATTTTCAAAAAAGGAGAATGAATGGGTACGTCTCCAAACTAAAACTACTCTGTGCCACTGTGGTGAGTGCACCTGGCAGGTAAGGGGCGAGGTGGGTGGTGTGGGAAAAAGAGAAGGCTCCTTGGTGAGCCCTGGGACCTTCTTCATGAGCCTCTCCAAGCAGTAAGGATGGGATTTGGCCCAAATAGAGGCTATCAAAGTGTGGAAGTGTGTGACGGTCTCAGCAAAGTGCTGAGAGTCCCCATAATGGTGAGTGCAGGTCCGTAAGGCTTTACCACGGCTACCTGGCAGGGACTAGAAGGCCGCAGGACATCAGGACCTCAGGGACCTTTGACAAAAGTGATCACAGTCAGGAGGGCAGGGGCCTTGCAGGCAGGGGTGCCTGTGCTCTGGTTCCCTGTGGCAGGGTGAGCTTCTAGAAAAAGCAGGTCATGTTCAAACAGATTCTCCAGAAAGACCTGCTATAGAAAGGCTTTGGGTTAATGAAAAACTTCAGTCTTTGTAGCCCAGGCCCACAGGATAGGCTCTGCCTCCTCTCCATGCCGGGTGAGTCCCCTCAATGAATCCCCTCTGATCCTTCTTCATGATCTATGGCCTGGTGAGTG